ATGAATACAAAATATGCATATGAAAGCTGAATGTTTGGGGAATGTAACGTATATTCATATATTACTGTGGTTTTGACCGTTTGGCTGTAATTTTTGTTCAAAACATTGTTTTTACATTTCATTGATTTACTCGAAAACTATAATAGATAGAATGAATCCAAAAGATGCATATGAAAGCTGAATCTAGCAAGTATCGATATATTACTGTGGTTTTAGCCGTTTGGCTGTAATTCGTGTTCAAAATTTAAAAAATACGCGTTTCTTTTATGAAAGGGGAGACGCCAAATGATTACATACTTTTGAAGGAGGCGTAGTAACATCAAGTTTGGAAACCACTGTTTTAAGGTATTTGATACCAACTTAAGTATCATTTCACTTAATATTTTTTTTTCTTATTCTGTCAAATACTTGAAAAAATTATGGCTTCCTATGATTCATTGCATCGCAATATTTTTATGCTTTCCGACAAAAATTTGTATTTCTCGCTGTCGGTTATTGAACATCCGGCTTCTTCGCCGATGACTCTTAACCGTTCACTCGCACACCATACACTTTTTTAATGTTGTTGGAAAGAGACGCAAATGGATTAGTTTTAATGGATCATGAGATCATTGCGGATCTCTCTATTTCAATCATTTAATTGAACACGATTTCCTTAATTACCTCGACATTTGGGAGATTCGCACGGACCGAAATCGAAAACGTACACTGTCGGAAGCGAAACGTCAAATTTGACATTTACCAAAAACAATTGGAATTCAAAACAAGAAATGAAACGTCAAATTTGACATTTCCAATTGTTATCGAATCGATTGACAGAAAAGAAATGTCGTAGTGTGTCATAATTTGCAATTGAAACAAATGAGATATGTGTATCCTGGTAACGACGGGTCAACTACTTTGTGCGGATATTTTGGAGTTCGAAACCGGAGCACAATGAGAAATTGGTCGAGATCGGGCTGCTCCCATATTATCTCTGTGCATATATTAAAATTTATGTAGAAAGTTTTTTTCGCCTTAATTTCTACAAATCTATCTCGCTTACATGCAATTACTACAGCGCCGCGCGCGATATCGTATATCATATGCTTCAGTGTGTGTGTGTTGCGGCCGAAATAAACACGAGGGGCTTTCCCTTACATAACGCGGAATTTATGCGCGCGTGTGTCTCCTCGCTCCCCGCACGCCTTACGCAACAAATGCAAAAGTCTCTTTTTGCTCTCGATTCCAGGTGGTTGATCAAATTTTTGACAACTTTTACAACTTTTCCATCTATGATAATGATGATGATGCCGTAATATATCAATTATTTTATTACGCACAACAAAAATGCGCGCACCAATTGCCCTCGATTCACTTTGATATACAAATATTTCCCATTCGAAATAGCGCTTTACTAGTAGTAGAATACATAGTTTACGATCATCGATGATCGTTATTGCGCGAAAATACTTCGAGACGCGCGGAACGCTAATTACCCATTAAGCGAAAGAAAGAGATCTCGACGTTTGACATTTCGCAAATAACCTATAATCTCAATTGACAGCAATAAAAACAAACGGACCCATTATTCTGTCACTTTGACATTTCGAGTCGAGTCCACTCGATATTATTATAGTCACACGTAAATCAAAGAATCAATTGTTTTTTTATTTGCGACAGAAGGCGTGCCCAAATTATCTAACACTTTGAAACGTCACTTTGACGTTTCGAACAATTTGGAGCGATTTAGATTTTCTTCTCGACGTTTATTGATTACGTAACTCACATATTACATCGCGTAATCGTCGTGACTCGAGATAATTGCTCTTCCAATAATTATGTTCTTCGCGTTGTTGAAAGATGAGCGAGAGTGCTTCATTTTCAAACGTTATTTTTTTCGTTGTTGTTGTTCTTCAGTTTCTCAATGTTGAATTATGGGAGATACGTGTAAATGAAATAATAATAATAATAAAACATAAAATCGGTATAATTTCGATACGTGAAACGATCGGGGTAGAAATATGGGTCAAGTTTGCGACCGGCCGTGTCTGACATTTCATTGAGTGCGTGTGTGTGTAAGTGTGTAAGTGTGTAAGTGTGCACCTCAACTAGATCACGTTTCTTTTCGAAGGAATTCGCCGTCCGTGTCTTTCTCTCGCTTACTTTTTGGGTGCCATGCCAACCCCAAGGACTCGAAAACAACACCGCCGCCGCTCCTGTCTCGTATTTGTTTTTTCGATTTTCATCTGTTACTCTCTTCTTTTTTTACAAGAACAAAGTTTGCTCTGATTGCATTGACATTTCCCTGCCAACTTTAACCTCCCACAAAAATAAAACGTTCAATTACACTCGCATCTGTCACCATGACTACCAAACAAATACTTATGAAACTAGATAGCCGAAAGCTTAAGCAAACATGTCACTATGGAAACGTAACGTTATTTCGTTTGATTCATCGGGGCGGCGGTGTTCGCTCCAATTTCTTTTCGGTAAAATTGCGTGTTAACGTGTAAAACTTTTTTTTCTTCTTTCATTCTCGTTTTGGCGAACTGCTGGATTGCACAAGGAATGCCCGAAAATCCGTGGGCGACTTTAATTGCCAGTCTTCTCTCTCCATCGCTTTTCTGTTCACTCTCATTTTCGTTTTCTTCGGCGCTCGCGAATTGTTATATTGTATCGTTTTCATCATTATTATTATTATTCAATCTTACGCAACTCTCGTCTCGACTCTCATTATTACCTGGTAGATTATATATTATATATCCATATTGACCAAATCGTTTCGTTTAATCGCCGATATTATTACATAATTACCATTTATCAAGTTCTTTCTATACGACCCTTTGGTTCGGGGTTACAAAAGAATACGACCAAAGTCCACTCCCGCTTGTCGTAAAAGGCGACTAAAGGGAAACTATAACCATTAATTTCCATGGTTACCATAACTGACATATGTCATTCGATTTGACGTTTCAATCGAATAAACTTTGGTTAGAGTTTATGTATTAATATTTAAGATCACATTACTCTAGGTTAGATTAAACAATAAAATAATCAAAGATTTAAAAATACATCTTATTTTTCCTTTAGTTCTAATCAGTTTTATCCAAATCTTAATTTATCTACGTCATGTATCTTTGACAGTTACATTATTTGTTTTTTGCCTGTCAAATTTCAATTGACGTAAATGTGTAACTTTGACATTTATATTAGTCAATTTGATAACTACTTCTCAATTTAAATTTACTTTTTTTAGTAATGACAAAATGACATGTATCTTTGACAGTTACATTAGTTACATTATTTGTTTTTTTCCTGTCAAATTTCAACTGACGTAAATGTGTAATTTTGACATTTATATTACTTAATTTGATAATTATTTCTCATTTTAAATTTAGTTTTTTTTAGTAATGACAAAATTAGTCATCAGACTTAAGTTGGAAATCTTGATGATTCAATAAAGTTATTAAGAAATATTCATGAGTAATTATTTCGTAGCAGTTTAAACAATTTTCTTTCAAATATACTTAATTATTTACAACTTTGATCAACTGTCACAAAAATGAGAACAACAATTCTCTTACATGACTGATTTTTGACATTTCACTTTGACAACGTCGCTTTCATTTTTGTTTTTTTCGTAATGACAATTGACAAAATCTTGATGCATTATTAAGTATGCATCAAAGAAAAACAATTGCACTAAACAATTGAATCAAATCATGAACGATGCTCTGGTATTGCGATCATTTGAATGACGTGAGGGAGGCCGGACGGAAGAGTCCGGTTATAAAACAACAATGATATCGATCGGCGATCGTTGGTGGTGAGGTGAGATAATCCGAAAAGTGAAAGAATCCGAGATACGCGCGAACGAAACAAAAGCGAATCGAAAGTGGTTGGTTGATGGGTGGGTGGCGACGAATTTTCGGGCTGATATAAAGACGGCCGAGACGTCAATCCAGAAAACATTTGCCGTTCCACCATTTCCGATTCGATTTTGTTTATTATAATTATTATTAGTTTTTTGACTGGATTCGCGTGCGTCGTTCGATTCGATCCGATCCTCCGGTGAGATCACTTTCTCACTTCCACTTCTTCTTCGTCTACTACTACTACTTCTTCTTATTCTTACTCTCGTTGTTGCTCCCAGTCGCGCGTGTTTTTTTTTTTTGAAGTGTACGTGTGTGTGTGTGTGTGAGTGCGTAGCCTTGCCTTGCCTTTACCACCAACCCTAGGTCTTCGGGCGCTCCGCATCTCGCCGGACAGTCAACCATCGACTATCGACAAATTAACAACGATCTTAAAAAAATACAACAATTTCAAAGATAGAAAACGAAAACCATGCGAACGAATTGAAACGAACATGAAGTTTCTCGCGTTCCTTCTCATCGCCTTGACGACGGGGGTTGCTTTGGCGACGACCGTTGTTGCTAAGGACTGCCACAAGGGAGGCTCCGGCCCCAAGCTCTTCTGTTACTATGGACACGTGCCCACCGAAGATGAGGTGATCCGGGACGCCTGCAGGTGCAGCCACCTGGTGCTTCCTCACGACTCAGACGCCGCCGCCGTCGACTCGATCCGCTCCAAACTTGAATCGACCACGAAGATACTCATCACCGTCCACGACCTGAACGAGGTAACAAAAATTATTTCAATATTAACGTACTTTCATCATATTTGATAAAACTGTTTACAACTGTCAAAAAAAAACAAACTAATTGTGACATTTGCAACGACGCTTTTTTAACGTCAAATTTGACAGAAAAAAACAAAACAATATCAATAACAATTTACAAGCGTTGCAAAAGGCGACTCATTTATTCATTCTTATCCAATAGAAATGATCTCATATTGATTGAATCGAATGCGATTTGAATGAGAAATTGGATTCGCGTATACGGATTTCCCACGTCCTAGGCGGCGGGCGAGTCATTATTGAATTCATTAATTAATTATTTAATAACGCTGCAGACTCGATCTGAGGAAAGAAAGTGAAAAAAAAAAGAAAAGAGAGACTTCAATGCTGCTGACTGAGAGCGCGCGCCAAACTCCTTTTATGAAGCGACGAGGGCCGCAGCAGCAGCAGCAGCGCCCACCTTCGTCTCAGTCTCGACGCCCAAAAGGACCTTTTCATCAATTTACATTAAACGCATTGAAAAGTATCAACAACAACAACAGCAGAGACAATAAATAAACGTAGCAAATTGTAATATAATATGCAGATCGTAGAGTGCATTTTTCGTTTGCGGACGCTCTTCAAGGCCTTCCAGATTGCGCAAACTAATCTAAAGTCATCGCGTCGAAGCGGAGCCAAAAAAAAATTTCAATTCTCAAAAAAATGATTCATCAGTTCAGACATATTTCCGACATTGTCTCAATGCAAATGTCATCTACATGATTTTTGACAGTTGTAAATTAGACATGTGTCAACGTTTAAACTTTACTCCTATTTCAATCGATTAATCATTAATTAGGTTATTATCAACGTCAGATTTGACAGTTCTAAATTTGACGTTGTCAATGTGATTACGTAACTTTGACTTGTTTTCGAAGCTTGAACATTATTATTCATTTTTTTAATAATCGTAATTATTTTCAATAACAAACAAAAAAATAAAGATGTTTCCAATTGCAGTTGCAATTTTTGTTAAATATGTATTTAAGGTTACATCATCTGTCCATCAATTGCATGACAGTTTCAGGTTAGATCCGCGTATTTTGACATTGACGTCTCGCTGAACTGGATTGCGTTTGTTTTTTTTTTTTCTCTATAAAACTTATATTTATCGCTTCCAGCCTTTCTAAATCGCTTAATTAATTATATGATTAATTACGAACTCGGAATTAAATCTTTAAAATTATTATCGTAACGAAATCCGATTGTTGGATTACGCTATGTGCTGCTGCTGCTGCTGCGTATGGATTAGGTGCGAAATGATTGATGTTTTCGTTTGGGGACGTGGGATTCGTCCGAGTCGCCGTAACCGAATTCTCTGAATTTCTCCGCGTCCATCTAGTGATGCGGTTTGCGCAAGAAAACGCTCTCGGAAGAGTTTAAGTAATTTTTACTTAATAAAGTAACTCGTCCAGCTCGTAAGTTTCGGGCAGTGGAAAGTCGTTTACTTGCATCAAAAATAAAACGAAGACGATGAGAGTTTGTGAGGTGCGTGCGAGAGAGAGATAGATTGCGGTTGCATAACTAAAAACGATCGCAACGCCCCCGGGTCGACTCATTCCTTCTCATCGTTTAAATTTTTTTTTGAATTTGTAAACGCACGTCTTCAACATCTCTCTCTTTCTCTCTCTCTTAAGACCGGTGCACTTTTTTAATTGGGTTAAGCGATTATTTTCCATCGAAGAATCGAAAGTGCACGAATTACGTATAACTTATAACAACATATACGTGCACGCATTTACAAGAGAGACGATTCATAAAGTCCTTGAGCGAAAAAAATCATCTTCATATTTATTTTCTTCATATTCGCATTTGTTCCATTTCAATCTAATTACATACCATTCTAATCTATGCGCCGCATTTAGGTTAGGTGCGCGCTTGTAATTGTTTTTTTTTTTGTTTTGCGTTCATCACTTGTTCATTTCAAAGAAGAACTAAATAAAAAAACATAGGATTACTCATGTAACCTTTGCAATGTTTTAACAAACAAAAAAAAAATAATTGAATGCTGCAATTTAAGGCGAAAACGAATCGATATCAAATTGGCCATGAATCATTATCTTTAGCCATATTGAGCGAAGAATAAATGTCAGATCGAACGCAAAAACAAAACAAAAAAAAGAGTTAAACACGTCGACTTGAGTCATTTGTTTCATTAATTTGTGTTTGTTTCAGGGTCTCGTGAAAACGCTGAAGAAGACCAAAGTGGACGGTCTCGAGGTGAAGCTGAAGAAGTTGAGGTCGCGCGAAGACATCGCCGATTTCCTTTCCACCGTACGCACCAAACTGGATAAGGACCTTTTCGTCGCGCTCTCAGTGCCCGCGAAACCCGAAATCCTCGCCAAGTATTACGATTTCAAGGCTCTGTCGAAATCCGCCGACGTTTTCCTGCTGGAAACCTCGTTCCTGGGCACCTCCAAGAACGTCACCTTCCATCCGAGCAGGCTGTCCGGTCTCTGGGACGTACAAAACACTGTAAGTACATTACTTTGACACTTCAAACTGTCACTGTCGAAATGACGTTTCTCAATAATTACTTGTTTATTTTCTTATCAAAAATGATTGTCAAAATTGATTACGTTTACTTAATTTCAATTTTTCTGAATCTCTGAAACTACTATGAAGTGACATTTCTAAATTACTTTTTGTTTCTATCAATTCAAATCAAACGTCATCTGTCAAAAATGATTGTCAACATTGATGACGTTTACTCAATTCAAATCAAACGTCATCTGTCAAAAACGATTGTCATCGAAAATGTAATATATCTTATAACATTTTATTTATCTCGTTAAACGATTGAAATCGATCTGTTTTTTTTGTACTTGCTATTATTACTTAATCGCGAGAATAATGTTGAAAAGATGCAGCAAGAAGGTGCGTGAGGAGGGAAAAAGAAAAGTGAAATTGTCTGTCAGTATCTGTGTGTGTGTGTGTGTGTGTGTGTTGATGACCCCAAAAATAATCGAGCAGTTGCATAAAACGTCCGATTTTCGCGCGGAAAAAAAGAAAGGCGATGATGAAGATGATGGTTGTTGATGTTGTTGGTCCTCTCCGTTCGTTCATTATTGAGATCCAGCAGACTGTGGCTATCGGCTGTAATACAACTTCCAGAAACAACTGAAAGAAGAAAAGAATCTGCGATTTCCTCCTTCTTCTTTTTCTTCTTCTTCTTCTTCTTATCCCATCATGCACCACCCGAAACAAAAGAAACATACCAAAAATCCCGTTCACTTTCTCCGCTCGAATTTTCGTTTCGGGCGCTCCAAATGATTTGCAGCCCAAACAAGGGATATTATTAATAGTTCCTTGAACTCGATCTTATTTATGCATCTATTGATGATGATGATGAAGTTGAGACACAGATAAGAGCCCCCCATCTTTTGTAATTTGTAATTACGGGGCCCCCGTTGTAATTTTATGTTAATTATAGCCGCGATGATGCAACCGCACGCTTCATCGCTGCATCCTTTTTCTAACGCGACCGGAAGATTGCCCTTACAAAATCGAAGACATCTAGCGAATTTTTATTTAATTACAAACAACAACGACAATATTGACATTTGACATTGTCATTTCAAAAATTGATTGACATTTAAATTGTCATTTTTTTTTTTAATTATCAGTTGATTCGAAGTAATCAAGAATGTTATATTCTCATTCAATTAAGTGATATTTGTTTCATTGATTCTCATAGAAAAGTCGAAATAATTCCTTTTTTTTTTTATCTCTGTCAGTATTTGATGTGCATTACTGGTAGCATACGTTCTAATAGATTACGTTTTTGTTTTTTTTTTGTTTTGTTTTGACAGGATTCGGTTGTGGATTTGGTGAGCGGTTTGGGGGCGCCACTGTCCAAACTGGTCGTCGCGGCGCCGGTGCAGGCGTTCAAATTCGCGCTCCAGGCGGAACGACACACCGCGCCCGGAAGTCCGGCCCTGGAATTGTCGACGATCTCCAGGGATGAACTGTGCGACGCGATGGGCGCAGGTGAAGGATGGACGCTGGAACGTGACCAGGATCAGGCGGGACCATACATCTTCAGGTGATACATTTTATTTTGTAACGAAATTTATGCGCATTTCGCAAAAGGCGAGACTCCAAAATTTTTTCGGGGCGCGCCCAGTGTTTGCGCAACGCGGACTCTTTCTAATCCTCGCTCCAAATCCGAATCGTGGTGACTCGAAGCGTACGCCAATGAAAGGGGACAACGTCGTTTTTGTTTTGTTTTTGTTCGTCGTTTGTTTTGTGAGCCTTTGAAACTTGCTCGCTCGATCGTCCACCTCTTCGCTCCATTTTGGACGGAAAAACCGAACGAATCGAGCGAAGCCTTGGACTGGATCCGTTTGTCGTCCAATAGATACGCATAAATATATTAGCAATTGAAAAATTTGTGCATACGCATTCAATTCCTAGTAATATTTGTTATATTGAAGTTGGTGTCATTGCCGGCACGGCACGCTTTTTTCCTTAAATTTCCGATCGTCTTTTGTAAATAATAAACAACTTAACGTGAGAAGAGACGCGTTTAAGAGCGTCTTCGTTTCCAAACTAAAATCAAGTAAAAAACGAACGTAATTTATCGGTAATTTATTTTTATTGTTTCTTTTTTTTGTTTCAGGGAAAAAGAATGGATCGCTTTCGAGGATTCGATGAGTATGGATATCAAGGCCAAGTACGCTCGTGTCAGGGGTTTAGCTGGTCTGGCTCTGAAGGATGTGTCGCAGGATGGCGGTTCGTCCTGCGGTGGAAGTCTTCTCGCTGCCGCGGCGGAGGGTCTTTCGCGTCAGGCGAGGGCACCTAGAGGAGCGCTCCTGCATTCGTTGGAACGCGAAATCCTGGAGACTCCGGCGAAGAAGTCGAAGAACGTTCAACTATCGCCGTACCGCATTTCCAGAGTCATCGACGTCGAGGGCAAAGTTCACGTTATCAGACAGGTATTTTACATTTGATTGCAGTTCGAGAGATGGTGCTGACTGTTCTTATTTTCAGGACACCAGAACCGAATTCGAATGCTCCAGGCAAGGGTACTTCGTACATCCCAGATCCTGCGGCCGCTTCTACCGCTGCGTCAAATTCGATCAGCTGACGGAGGAGTTCTCCGTGTTCGAATTCGATTGTCCCGCGGGTCTCGCCTTCGACGAACGCGTCGAAGTGTGCGTCTGGCCGGGAAGTCTTCCGCACGCCTCCGCCTGCTCGGGAAGCAGTGAAATCGCTCCCGTTCCCAAGCAGAGATTCGTCTGTCCATCCGAGCCCGGTTACTACGCCGATCCGGAGAATTGTCGCTGGTTCTTCGCCTGTCTGGATCACGGAACCTCACCGTTGACCGCCTACGAGTTCCGCTGTCCCTACGGTCTGGTCTTCGACGGGGAACGTCTTCTGTGCGAGTGGCCGTGGTTGGTGCCCAAGTGCGCCTCCGGTCTGGCCTTCGCCGAAGGCTACGAAAGTCGCACCGTCGGCGATTATAGTCTCGATTTGTACGACGGCCTCGGTTCCTTGAATGGCATCCGTCTGGGCGGTCTCAGCGGACCCCTGCAGCAGCCGATCTCGAAAACGTACAGCAGCTTCAGCAAAGACAACTACCAAAACCTTCTCCTGGGTATAGGCAACTCGAACGTCGATCATTCCGCCAATCTGGGTCTCCTCTCCGGCGGCAACCTCCACGCCGCCGTCAACGAACACTCGAACGGCGCTGGCTCAAAATCAGGAAGCTACAGCAGATTCTCAACATCCGGCAGCCGAAATTCAGCAGGAAACTACAACAAATTCTTGTCCGGTAACGCACAAAGTACAGCAGGAGCTGTACACGAATCAGGCTTGAATGCAGCTTCGGGAAAATACAACAAATTCTCATCCGGATCAAGCTCAAATTCCGGAAACCAAGGTTTCGCCCACGGTGATGGCTTAAATATTGCCTCAGGTAAAAATACAATTCATTACATTATATACAAAAACAATTAAATCTCATTTTTTTTTTGCAGGTTTAGTACACGAAACAGGCTCTAATTCCGCTGCAGGAAACTACAACAAATACTCGTCTGGTTCGAGTTCAATTTCTGGAAGTCAAGGTTTCGCCCACGGTGAAGCTTTAAATATTGCTTCAGGTAATAATAAAATCCAATCACATAATACAAGTGCAATAAATTATAATTATTTTCAGGCGAGAATGGAAACTATAATAAATTCTCGTCCGGTTCGAGCTCGATTTCCGGAAACTCGGGAAGCGAAGTATCTGGAGGTTTCTCCACGGGAATTGTTCACGGCGAAGGTACGAATATTGCCGAAAATAATAACGATAATTACAATAAATTATCGTTTTCTTTAGGTATTGTACATGAAGTAGGATCGAATACAGGAAATTACAAGAAATTCTCATCAATTTCCGCCAACGCCGGTGCTTCCCATGGACATAGACTAAACGTAGCATCCGGAAACGCCAAAAACTACAATGCATTCTCTTCCGGATCCGCTAATGCCGGAAGTCGAGTATCTGGTGGATTCTCCTCGGGAATCGTTCACAAACACGGCTCGAACTTGGCTTCAGGTAATGCCGAAACCTACAGCAAATTCTCGATCGGATCCGGCTCGGTTTCAGGTAATTCCGGAAGCCATGTATTGAAATTCGCTTCGGGGGTGGAGCACGGTGAAGGCTTGAATATCGCCGCAGGCAACGCTCACAATTACAACACATATTCAAGCGGCTCGAACATAATTTCTGGTAATTCTGAAATTGCCGCCGGATTTTCTTCCGGTGTAGCCCACGGAGAAGGTGTGAACGTAGCATCAGAGAATACAGAAAGTAATAGCAAATTCTCTTCCGCTAATTCCGGAAGTCAAGTATCTGGGGGATACTCGACTGGAATCGTTCACGGAGAAGGTTTAAATTTGGCCTCTCACGGCGAGGAATTGAATGTAGCCAATGGAAACGCTTACAACAGCTTTGAATCGGAAGCCAATTCCAATTACGGCGGTTTCTCTGCTGAAGTTGCGCATGGCGAAGGCTTGAATTTGGTCGCAGGAAATGCTGAAAGCTACAGCAAATTCTCTTCTGGATCTGATTCACATTCAGGTAATTCCCAAAGTCATGTCTCAGGTGGATACTCTTCTGGGGTAATCCATGGAGAAGGCTTAAATGTAGCCGCAGGAAACGTAGAAAGCTACAATAAACTATCTTCCGGAGCGCACACAATTTCTGGTAATTCAGGAATTGTTCATGGAGAAGGTTTGATCTTAGAAAATGCAGGAATTTCTTCTGAAGTTGTGCATGGGGAAGGATTAAATGTGGCCGCAGGAAACGCGGAAAGTTACAGCAAATTCTCTTCCGGCTCGAGCTCAATTGCTGGTAATGCGGGAACTTATGTAACAGAAGGATATCCTTCCGGAATTGATCATGGAGAGAATTTGAAATTGGCCACAGGGCTTCTGCTCGGTGAAGATGAGGGCCTGAATGTTGCGACAGAAAGTAACTACAACAAATTCTCTTTGGGATCGAGCTTGCTTTCAGAAAGTCAAGTAACTGAAGGAGGATTCTCTTCGGGAATCGCTCACGGCTTGAATCTTGGTTCAGGTAATGACGAGAGTTACAGCAAGTTTTCTTCGGGATCATCCAGCTCGATATACGGTAATTCCGGAAGCCAAATTGCAGAAGGATTTTCGACGGGAGTTGCCCACGGAGATGGTTTGATCGATCACACTGGTAACTTGAATTTCCTCGCGGACATCGAACCGAATTTCAACGAGTTTTTTTCAGAATACGGAAACCAGGCGCAAACCATTCTCCTGAACCAGGAGAGCATCAACGCTGGATCGCACGAGTACAGTCAGAATACCGGTTTCGCCACCGGAGTAGTAGGTGGTCAGGAAGAAAGTACCTTGAATTTGGCTTCAGTGCAGTCCAGTGGATTTTCTTCGGGAATCGTTCACGGGCAAAGCTCCTCGTCTCAAGCGGAGGCCGTCAATTTGGCATTCGGAAGTCGCGTGACTTCAGGCAATTCTCAAGGACATATCGACATCGTAGGCGGCGGATTTTCAGGCGTAGGAAACGTCAAAGTGTTGGAGAACGCTCCAGTCGTGGCGTCCGTAGTGACGTCCATTCCAACGGTAACGGCAGTTCCAATTCCCGCCCAAAAAGAATTTGAAACTTACAATGCAGGAGGCGTGGTAGCCAATCTGCCGGATCTCCAATTGAAATTGGAACATCCTTCCACAATTAACCACCATCTGACAGCAAAAACTCCAGCTGTCACTGTGACTGACGTCCTGTTTGCTTCGACACCGTCGAGCTTAGGTTACGATTATCCAAAACCTAAAATTCCTTTTATCGAAGGCTCCACCGCTAAACCCACATACTTACCTCCAGTTCAAAAAACCTATTTACCATCTGTTCAAAAGACCTACGTACCTTCCGTCCAAAAGTCTTACGTCAGACCATTGAGACCAGTCGGCGGTCTCAAAGCTACCGTCATTGAAAACTACAATAAACCAGCCGTAGTAACCACTTACCATCACCAAAGACCAGCTGTTGTTCAACAACACGTCAAAATCCATGAAAGTAAACCCGCAATTGCAGTGCAAGAAGTTAAAGTCGTAAAACCGGCTGTAGTACAGACATATTACCACCAAAAACCAGCTGTCATTGAACAGCAAACCGTTCATGTTCAACCAACTGTCACATACGAAAGTGTCAAAATCGAGAAACCGGTCAATTTCGAGGGTTACAAATACGAGAAACCGACAATCGTTTTCGAAGAGAAACCACAAATTAAAATTGAAAAACCCGCCGTCGTTCAAACCTATTTCCATCAAAAACCAGCTGTCATTGAACATCAAACCGTTCACATCCAACCAACTGTCACTTACGAAAGTGTCAGAACCGAGAAACCGGTGAAGTTCGAAGGTTACAGATACGAGAAACCTACCGTCGCCTTTGAAGAGAAACGCGTGCAGAAAGTTAAAATTGAAAAACCCGCAGTGGTTCAAACCTATTTCCATCAAAAACCTGCCGTCATTCGACAGCAAACCGTTCATGTTCAACCGACTGTCACTTACGAGAAACCGGCGGTGATTGAACAGCAGACTGTAGAAGTAAAAACACCCGTTAAATTTGAGGGTTATCAGTATGAGAAACCGACAATTAAATTTGAGATTCCAAAACCCAAGGTCACCTATCAGCAAGAAGTTAAGGTACAGAAACCTGCCGTTGTTCAGACCTATTACCACCAGAAACCGGCGGTGGTTCATCATAAAATTGTACAAGAAGTGCAACCTCAAATTGAGATTAAACAACAAACTGTTGAAGTTAACCAAGGTTATCATTACGAGAAGCCGACGATTAAATTCGAAGAACGTTCTAAACCTGTCGTATCTTACCAACAAGAAGTGAAGGTACAGAAACCAGCTGTAGTTGAATCCTATTACCACCAGAAACCTGCAGTGGTTCATCAACAAATTGTACATGAAGTGCAACCGAAAGTGGAGATTAAGCAGCAAGCAGCTATTGAAGTTAACCAAGGTTATCATTACGAGAAGCCGACTATCAAATTCGAAGAACGACCTAAACCTGTCGTCACTTATCACAAAGAAGTTAGAGTACAGAAACCGGCCGTAGTTCAAACTTACTACCACCAGAAACCTGCCGTGGTTCACCAGCAAATAGTGCACGAGGTGCAACCTCAGGTGGAGATCAAGCAACAAACTGTTAAAGTTGACGAAGGTTATCATTACGAGAAACCGACGATCAAATTCGAAGAGACTCCAAAACCTGTGGTCACTTATCAGCAAGAAATTAAGGTTCAAAAACCTGCTGTCGTTCATTCGTACTATCACCAAAAACCAGCTGTCATCCAGCAACAAACTGTCAAACCGATTGTCTCGTACGAGCAAGTCAAACCTGAAATCAAATTCGAAGGTTACCACTACGAGAAACCGGCCGTGAAATTCGAAATTCCCAAACCGACTGTAACGTATCATCAAGAAGTTAAAGTGAAGAAGCCCGCCGTTGTGGTTGAATCTTATTATCAACAAAAACCCGTTGTTATTCAACATCAAACTGAGCGACCGACTGTCGTTTACGAAAAACCAGCGATTACCGGTTATCAAGAGGTTAAAATCGAGAAACCGGTTGAAAGTTATCATTATCAGAAGCCAGCTGTCGTTAAAATTGAAGAACAGGTTCAATTCCAAGGTTATAAATACGAGAAACCGACAATCGCATTCGAGGAGAAACGTAAGGAGGTGAAGATCGAGCAACCGGCAGTGGTTCAAACTTATTTCCACCAGAAGCATGTCACTCCGAATGTCGCTTACGAAAAGCCGGTGGTCGTTGAACAAAAGACCGTTGAAATTAACAAGTTTGAAGGATATCATTACGAGAAGCCTTCGATTCAGTTTGAGGAGAAACCACAGCAGGTTGTCAGTTACCAGCAGGAAGTGAAGGTACAGAAACCGGCGTTCGTGCATAGCTATTATAACCAGAAACCGGCTGTCACCTATGAGAGTGTCAAAGTTAAGCAACCTGTGGTGCATAGAGTGCAGCACAGACAAAGGGTGCAGGTAAAGAATCAGGAAGGTTACAGGTATGAGAAACCTGCAATCGTTTTCGAGGAGAAACCTCAAGTGATCGTTGAGCAACAAAAGCCAGCTGTGGTGGAGACTTACTTCCATCAGAAACAACCGGTGGTGTTGGAGCAGAAGACCATCGTTCAAGTAAATCCGGTAACCGCTAAACCTGTGGTCGTAGAGAATTACGTGTACAAGGATGAAGGTTACCATTACGAAAAACCGGCGATCGCCTTCGAAGAAAGGCCCACGTACAAAGAAGTTGTAACCCAGACCGTAAGGCCGACGACACCGAGGATCATTCCTCAAGTTTCGACCTACACTTATCATCATCGCAGACCCACTTACGTTTCGTCTACCACCACCGAGAGAGTTCCAGTCGTCGAAGAAATTATTATTCCGAAGAAGGCGTACGTTACCGGTAGCGAAGAGGGTTACAGCTATCCGAAACCCGAGATTAAGTTTGAATTGCCTAAACCCACTCTAGTGGCGGAAATCGAAAACGCTCCACTGAAGGAGTTCCGTTATTACGATAGCAGATACCAGAATGTTGTGTCGAGCACCGCAGCGCCTTTAAGTTCGAGTACGTACAGGATTAGAACCAGGCGACCAACCCTGAAGAGAGTTTACCTTCCGGTGAGCACTACCGAGAGGGTTGTAGCTTTGACGAGGGAGTACTTGCCTGTTACCCAAGAGTATATTCCTATTACCACTGCTAAGATCAGCAAGGAGTATTTGCCTGTCACGAGGAGACCGTCTAAACAGTACCTTCCGGTCACCAAGACTTACGTCCCAGTCACACGTAGACCTTCGAAAGAGTATCTGCCGGTTACTACCGCTAAGATTAACAGGGAGTATTTGCCGGTCACTCGCAGACCTTCCAAGCAATATTTACCTGTAACTGAAATCAACAAGGAGTATCTTCCTGTTACAACGGCCAGAAGACCATCCAAGGAATATCTTCCCGTCACCACTGAACCATCGAAAGAGTATCTCCCTGTTACTACCGCCAGGAGACCATCCAAGGAATATCTTCCTGTTTCTACTGCCAGGAGACCATCGAAGGAGTACCTTCCGGTTACCACACCTAAGCAATACGTTTCGGTAACCACACCAAGAGAGTACGTATCTGTTACTACCGAAGTGCCGTTTGTCAGCACAGCTAAGATTAGCAAAGAGTACTTACCTGCGACAACGTCGCGAAGGCCTTCCAAAGAATATCTTCCTGTCACAAGGAAACCAAGCAGGGAATATCTTCCCGTCGCCGTGACAACGCTGATACCGAGCAAGGAATATTTGCCGGTCAAGGGAATACAGGTGGAGAATTACGAGAACAAGGAGTACCAGATTTCGTTGACGGAAAAGCCGAGTCGTGAGTATCTGCCGGTGAAGTCGTCCACCAGGAGACCGCAAAAGTCGAAGGCCATCATTAAGGTGAACGATTTCCATCCGATTTTGGCAGCCAAGTTGGGTGCTCAATGTACATGCGTCTCCAATACTCTGAAACTGCGGAAGAGACCAACGACGAGGATTCAAGATCTCGAAGAATACGTGGAACAAGCCCAAGAAGATGGCGATGATAACGAGGAAGATGAAATTGTGATTGTGAGAAAATCGACAACACCGTCGTCATCGAGAGTGGGCAAGAAATCTCGCAGACCGTCTGTGACGATCGTCAAGGATGAAGAGGAGGATGAATCCGCTTCAATCAAGGAGGAAATCAAGTCGGCTGTAAGAGAGGGTGTCAAGGCTGGTGTTAAGGAGGCTCTGGCCAGCAAAGATTTCGATAGGTACGGACCAGGTGGACTTAGAGGTCGCACCGAGACGCTTCAAGGAACCGTCGACTGCCAAAGGGCCGGTCTCTTCAGGCACCCGAAACATTGCAACAAATTCTACACGTGCCGTTGGGACGAGAGCAAGAAGAAGTTTACTCTGCACGTTTTCAACTGTCCCGTCCATCTGACGTTCGACAACAATTTGGGCGCCTGCAACTGGCCAAGTCAAGGCCCCGCCTGCGTCGACAACACTCTGCTACCCAGCGAATGAGAGACCCGCAAGACGATTAACGAAAGAACAACTACACTTTCTCTCTCTCTCTCTCATAACCCACTCTCATCGTTTTTAATTTATTTATTCCACCATCCACGCATCCAGTTGTACAGCAAATAAACAAACTACTTTTATGTTAGGGAAACCCCCACTCCCCCAATCAACATCCACACCTAATTTCCGCAACCCGCGATCACCACCCCCACGCCCCCTTCGCATCGCTTGCCAAATTGGGTGCGGATCATATTATTACTATTATTATTCTGTATCTGTATTCTGTAAACATTTATATGCGATAAAAGAAACAAAATCATCAAGAAGAAGAAGAAGGTAAAGGATGATTTGACTCTTTAAATTATATTTAATTTTAATGCGCTTCTCTGGGCTATATTTGTAAATCTGTAAATTTTGTGTGTGTATGTATATTATTGAATATATTTATGGAGTTCATTATTACTATTATTATTATTATATTCTGTTTGTTTTGGGTGCAGAAATATTATGATAGAAAAGAAATATTAAAAAATATATATATATAAAATTTAAAATAATCGTTTATTGTATCGTATAAACATTACTTTGCCATAGTTAATGAAACAGTTTTGTTATTCAACAATTTAGATGTTAAGAACGGTTGGTTTTTCGTACTTTTCGAGTACCTTCTGGTATCTCAGCAGGATGGGTTGAACCTCTTCGGCAAGGAATTCGGTGACTTGATCGGTTGTACGACCTGTAAACGTTGCAGGATCGAGGAGGCTTTCGAGGTCGGGGATGATCGGAGCGAAGTAAGGGTCGTTGGAGACGCGTTCGATCAGATCGTTGTCTTTGCCCAACTGCTTGACCTGAGCTGCAGCTTCGTGCGAGAGAACGCGAATCTTCTCGTGGCAGACCTGACGATCGCCTCCGCCCTTCTTCACCATCGCCATGATGATGTTCTCGGTGGACATGAAGGGCAACTCCTGACGGACGTGACGATCGATCACTTTCGGGTAGACGACGAGACCCTGAGTAATATTGACGAGCGTGAGGAGGGCAGCGTCAGCGGAGAGGAAGGCCTCACTCAAAGTCAGACGACGATTGGCGGAGTCGTCGAGGGTGCGTTCAAACCATTGCGTCGAATGCGTCTGGGTGGTGTTTTGCTGCAATGTTATGATATGGCGAGCGAGTGAACAACACCTTTCCGAACGCATCGGGTTCCTCTTGTACGCCATCGCGCTGCTTCCGATCTGGCTCTTCTCGAACGGCTCCTCCACTTCCTTCATGTTCGCCAGCAATCTGAGATCGGTGCACATCTTGTGGATGGAAGTGCCCAAACTGGCGAGCGCTCCGACCACCTCAACGTCCACTTTGCGGGAGTACGTTTGCCCGGTGACGTGGTACGATCTCTCGAAACCGCACAACTTCGTCAGCACATCATCCAACTGCTTCACTTTAGCCCCATCCCCGTCAAACAATTGCATGTAAGACGCTTGAGTACCGGTCGTTCCTTTGCAACCCCTGAAGCGCAGATCATCTCTGGCCCTGCGAATATTCCTCTCGTCCATCACCAAATCGCTCAACCAGAGAGTCGCCCTCTTTCCCACGGTCGTCAACTGAGCGGGCTGCAGATGCGTGAATCCCAACGTCGGCAACGCTTTATGCTCTTCGGCGAAATTCGCCAGGTTTCTTATTACCGCTGCCAACTCGCCGAGGATGATGTCCAAACCGTCGCGCATAACCATCAGATCGGTGTTATCACCGACGAAACACGAGGTCGCACCCAGATGGATGATTGGTGCTGCTTTTGGGCATTGCTCGGCGAAGACGTGGACGTGCGCCATCACGTCGTGTCTCGTCTTCTTCTCCTCTTCTGCGGCGGCCGCAAAATCAACGTCCTTGATGTGCGACTCCATCTCTGCAATTTGCTCATCGCTGATCTTCAAACCCAATTCCTGAAACGCAAATATCATCATATACATATGATTCTCATTTACAATTTATGTGTAAACAAATACAAAAATGTGTGTATGCAACGAATATAATGAACGTTTAAACAGTGAGTAACAGTTTACGAAAGATAAGATAACTCTAAAATCATAATACAATTAATTTTTTATCCATATTCTCTCTTAACTTGTTCAATCCATTTCAAAAATTAATTATTTCACAAAATTCTCGACCGATTTTATTACTTTATTTTTATTAACAATATTGTGTCACTGCTCCTAAGAACACCGCAGTTGTATATAATTGAATTTTCTCGTTGATAATGATGATTCAGTCCTAGGTTGAGATTACTAATGTATCGAGTATTTTCAAAATGACGAGAAAAAAAAAATGAGCAGTGTGAAAGCATAATAAAATGTGTATCCGCGCCTATCTTTACACAATCTTCGCTCCATCTCGCTTTTGTTTCTTCCTTTCTTTTTCCCTTTCATCATAGAAATGTACATGAACATAAATGTAATTTTCTTTATCAGATGATAACAACTCTCTGATAAACGGAGCGACACGGATAACAGAACAGGTAGATTCAGTCAGTTGAACAAGTATTAACCGATAGTGCGAGGGTGCTAGTGTTTTGTTATAAAACTGTAACAAAAGAGAGAAGAAACAAAAAGCGAAGATGGTTAACGTGGCGACGGTCGGAAGTGTTTTCATTAAGATCCCAAAATTGGTAAATTATACTAGATTCGATCAATAATCACCAAAATTATGTTTCACGTTTGATTGATTTCGCTCGCTGTGCGGTATATTAATATTTCTGGCTTCGTTTCCATAGTTTTTCTCAATCGAGCGCGCGGAGAATCGCGTTATCTGCGCCCGATTAACGAACGGATAAGCCCGATTAGAATTAGGGCTCACCTAGGTTCTCAAATGTGTAAATTGTATTTAATAATAAATACATTTTTATTACTATTATGCTGATAACGAAAATCGCGTTTCGCAATTGAACTCATTTTCTGCTTTACTATTATTATTATTAAATTACATCGATAAGTGAATCTAATTTCAAAACATTCAAAGGTTTTCGTTACTATAGTTTCAAGAAATAATAAATAAATTTTGTGATGATAATGATGATGAAGTAGGCCGTGCGTATCGGCCATTTTGCTCGTCGATTAATCATTGTTTACTCGTAACCTAGTTACAATTGTTTGTTTGCTTTTCAGGTGCTGAACCTGCTCATCCTGATACTGTACAGGGTGGGCAATCACGGCGGATTTTTGGGCGTCGGCGGCACATGGAATTTGAACGAGGAGAAGAACGCCGACGCGGAGATCGTCGCGTCCGGCGTCTTCGTCGGATTCTTCATATACACGGCAGTCTCGTTGATCAGCTTCTGCTTCTCAACAAGCGACCATAAACAGTGAGCAATTACAAAATATTCAAAACGTCAAAACTAAATTTGCAAATGTCAATATTTGACGTTAGAAATGTCACACTAGAATTGAAAATACTCATTGTTTCTCTCTATTTATTCTTAAGCACTTTTACTGATATCCTGATGAACATCATTGGAATCTTCATGTGGTTGGCCACCGGTGCAACCGCTCTTCACTATTGGCACGGATACCAGAGCGAGTACAAATACATCCACGTGGCGTCCGAAAGACAGGTAAACTGACATCTGTCGAAATTTGGTTTGCAAACATTTAGATCTATTTTCTTTTGTTATTTCTGCTGCAGGTCGGCTTGGCCATGGGTTCGTTGTGCGTGCTGAACGGGGCCTGCTACCTTCTGGACACGGTGTTGGCCGTCTACCATTTCATTCGAACGAAAATCCAATAAAAAAACGTTCAAATGAATATGAAGTAGAGATTTTTGCTGATCTCTGCGTCACGTTTGCGTATTATAATTTAAAAACATAACATTAACCAAATTAATTTCCATTTTATATACTTCGTTTCTTTTTTTTATAATTATTAAAGTAGTAAACGTTTTATTAGGCAGTCGATGATCCAGTTTGTGTGTCTTTTCTTAAGTGTACAATTAAACGAATCACTCTCCTGTCCATACGCTGTCCTCTCCGTTAGATAGTTAGTTAATAGAGAGTTAATGAATCACCCGCACGTCGTCGTAGGCGTATCGGCAATTAACCCGAGGGTTAAAAGGTCCAATTAGTAGCGCAATATAAAGACGGTCGCGTCGAGATAAATCTTTGGGTTCCGCTTCGGACCGCAGAGAGATCACGCTGGCCACGCACCACGATCTGTACGACGTCCCCAAGAAGATCATGTCCTCCGAGATGGAAGTCACCATGTCAACGACGGATAAAAACACGCCCAGCAAAGAAGAAGACATCGTCGTGGTCGTCAAGGAAACACGTCGGAAGTACGTGAAGCGCGTGCTACGCGAGCACTGGCAAATCGCATTCAAGATTGCGGAAATCGTAAGGTTTTTAATTTTTAATACATACGAATTGATTGATTTATTCGTTTTGTTTTGCAGTTGCTTTCGATCGCGTGCATCTGCTTCGCGTACGAGCCGACGCAGATGACGGGGCTCGGGAAGAGTCACCTGCATCACGTGGGGATCATGTACACGGCGTACGCCGGCAACCTCCTCATCAACGGCGTGCTTCTCGTTTCCAGATTCGTGGGCGACCGGTTGCCGTACAGGACGTCCGTCGTCTTTTCCGTTTCCGGTGCGGCCATGTTCCTCGTCACCGCCATCCTCCTGATCACCGATCGCTCCTATCTGACCCGCAACCGCATCTTCCATCCGAAGGCCTACCTCCTCGAGATGCTGACCATCTCAACGATCTGCGCCCTCGTCAACGTCGTCATCTTCATATCCGATGCGATAATCACGTTTCGCAGTCGAAAATCCCTTTGAAACTTACTTACTTCATCGTCTGTACAAACTTTGTAAATAGAAAAAATGTATATAGAAATACGAAAACCTTACGCAGAAATCACCCGTCCAAGACCAGCGCACATTCACTTCCGTCGCATCTTTCAACGACGCAAAGAAAAGTGCGTGTGGTTGCATAATAATTTGTTTAGAATTACTAATAATGTTGTATTTATTTTTTTTATGTAATTATTGAGCTTAATTGGTTGCATACGCATTATTAGATTAATTAATTAAGTTTTCTTATCCATGGAATCTAATCCATATCACATGACGATCGTTACTGTTTAATAAATGTATTATTTTCTTTACAATTGTGTGATGTTTGGGTTGCCTACAGTCGAATGTGTCAGTCAGTGTGCGACGTCGGTGTTGGTTTGATTTGTGGTGCGGCGGCGACGGCAGATGTATCTGTACCAGAACCAGAATCGTCATGTTATAGACAGGAGATGCAATTTCGTTCGTGTCGTACAAATGGTAAAACAATTCACAATACAATTCAATCGAATGAATCAATATAAACTGACTTGTTCAGGTTCTTTGCATCGGTTGCACCGCTCTGAGTGTATACAACTTCAAGTACGCGCGCTTCGTGGACGTCTCGACGAGCACTTTACTGACGGTGGCGGGAAGCGTGTTCACGTTCCTCACCGCCGTGGACAACGTGACCAGAGCCGTTTTCCAGCTGGCCATCCACTTCAAGCTGTGGCTCGCGTACGCCTATTCCGGATCGGCGACGTTCGTCGGCTGCGTCATCGTCTACGTCTGCATGCTGGACGTGCTGAACAACTTCTGGATACCCATCATGCTCACGTGCTACTCACTGACCGGCATCGTCTTCCTCTGGGACGCGAGCTGCATCATCTTGTTAGTAATATTTCCCATTACAACAACAACTTACTCATGGTTTTACCTTTTTCATTCAAGTTTCAGGAAGTACAAGGTCGTCCCGCTCAGCAAACCGAACTCCGCCACGTCGACGTTGGCCCAAAGCAAGGACACCTACGTCCTACGAGATTACCAGAAGTACGGCTGCACCACCGCCGACGGTGAGACCGGATCAGAGTTTAAGATCTCCCTCAACGATTTAGGTTTTTCATCCATTAAATTCATACTATAAACAATACACAAGTTTGATGTTTGCAGGCTCGAAGCCGAGATCGAGCAGATCTTCACCCAGGTCAGCGAACGGTACGCCCATGAGCTACGGCGGCACCTTCCACATGTCCCGAGACGTCGCCCCGATGACCAGTGTCAAAAATGGTAAAATCTTCAACTCGCATCTTTGAAACACAAAACAAATGTTCGAAAGTCTCTTTTCCAGACGATTTCAGAGCGGACAACAGGAAGCACGAGTGCGTCAACACGTATTCATGAGGATCAATAATAAAAAAAAGAACACCGGTGATGATGATTATAATTATTAAATTTGATTTTATTTGCAAAGGCGGCGATGCAAACAAATTTGAATTATTATTATTATTATTTTGTTTTTTGTCGTCAGATGGAGCGACGGGGCCGGATGTTCGTTATCTGTCAAAATTTTCATCGTTTCATCTGTTCATTATTTTCGAGGGTTTGGATCAAATTATTTGTGAATTATGGGCGGTGGTGGTGAGTTTTAGATATATTAATATTGAATATTGATTGATCGATTTGCGTTAGGTTTGATGCAATTGTTGTGGAAGAAAAGACGCGCGAGGAAATCCGAGAACAAGTTTCGTGGGAGCGCCTGCACCCAAACCGACGAGATCGAATGGTTCGGACGACGAAGGTGGTGCGAAACGGACGGCGTAGATCTGAAGACGCTCTACCGGGCCGACGAGGATGAGACGAAGAAATGGTGAGAGATATGTTTTTTAATTGGTTTCGGTTAATTTATGCTTTCCAATTCGCAGGGAGGCGAGGAAGTTGCGAAGCAACAAGTTGATAGGCAACAGCGAGCACTTCTTCAAAGCTACGATGGAGAAGGGCGTCGACGTTAAGCTGCTAGATGATAAGCCTCTCCGGTTCAGGTATCGTCCCACCGGCGAGCTCTGCTCTGACGTCAGCGACGACCTGAAGAGCAGCTTAAGGGATTTAAAGTTCTCCCCGAAGAAGGCGTTCGCGCCGATCGATTCGAACGAAGGATTCTACAGGGCGAAGATGGGCAACGATTACAAGTTGGAGCACGGAGCGCTTCTCGTCCAACAGAACAACGTGATCAAGACGTTCAGGATTTCGAGCAAATCGCGCAACGTGAGCGGCGCGTCTCGCAGCCTTATGAAGCAGACGACGAACGAAGAGAACGCGCCGAAGACCGAGGTGGAACGGATCGAGGAGCTGGTGCGTAAGTTGAAGGAGCACTTCAACGGGGCGAAGCGACCGTGCAACGTGCCGCGCAGCACCTATCTCAGGCCGAACGTCTACTTCTACGAGCGCAACTCCAACAAATCGCAACTGGTGCGCGACCGAAGCTGTCGCCTGTCACAGAGCAAATGTCAAAATTACTAGTCGGGCGTCGTAACGATGCACAGGTCGGGAAATGGATGCTACCAGAGGCATTGCAGTGAGTCCAACAATAGTTTCTTCTATCTATTCCAAATTGTATTCATTCTTTCAGTTATGTACGATGGGGGATTTCAGGGTGAGAAATGAGCGTACGCACTATCAATATTTCTGCCTTTAAGAGCAACAAAACACTCCTTTTTATAATGTTTTGTTGTTTTTGTTTAATGCTTGCGTGTCTGTGCAGTTGCAGGAATCCATCCGGACTGCATGTGCTCTACGAAGCTCGTGCGGGCGACAATACACGCGTTCGTCCCGGAAACCGTGTGTCACGTGAAGGTACAACAACAACAACAAAAAAAAGACATTAGCGTTATCGTTAGTTTGCAAATTAATTTCAATTGTTGTGCTTGTAGCAACCCGTGGATGAAGTCGAAGGGAGAGGTGAGAGTTTCAGAGGAAATGACGAAGTTACGCAAACGCAAATCGGATCGTCGCGGATGACGACGACGGAGAATGGGAACGATATGGAATGCTGCCCTTGCAAGGACAAGGACCAGTCTACAAGGTTAAATCTCGTTTTTTAAATATTAATTATTAATTATGTGTATTATAGTAGGAGCGTTGTAGAAGATGGGATGAATAACATCTACGAAAACAAGAACTACGATGAGGGCACGTCGACGGGATCGCTGCAAATGCAAGTGAGGACGATGTGCGACTGTTCGAGAGTAAACTGTCCGAACCGGAGGAATCGAAACGGTGGGCGCTTTGATGAAATATGAAAAGAAACGAAATTGAATTCGTTGTTTAGGAGGTGGTACTACGGCCACCGATATTGATCGCAGAGGGGAGAGTCGTTCGATGCATCAGCAATCAACATCACAGGTTTACGCAGGTAAAATATGTTGTAATCAGATCGTTACGATGATGATTGTTAAATGTTATTGTTGATGAAGATGAGAGACGCAACGGTTTACCGACGGAGCGCGTCTGCTATTCGGTGTGCAAGACGCCGTTCAGTTCCAGACACAGCGAGATCCATCAGCAGTTCGTGAGTCAGAAAGGTCGCCAGCAGAGGAGCAGGGCTTCACCGCCGAGCATGCGCGACGTCGGCCTGAACTACGACCCGGAGGACGACGATTTCCTCAGCAAGCGAAGGACAGGCTTCTCGTCCACCCGCAGCAATATCCGCATGCAGGACACGCATACCAACACCTCGGCGATCTTCCGAAACACCTGCTGCCAGCAATCAAAGTGCGGCTGTTACGAGGCGGCCATGCAGATCGCCGCAGGATATGCGCCGCCGCCGCCGCCTCCTTCGAACGGAAAACGGAAAAGGAATCAAAATATGATGGACGAAGACGACGACTTTTACTACGACGATCGCGCTCCCTACGAAGATTACCGTCGGCCGCAGCAACAAGTTTCGATCGTACAAACACCATCATTCCGGCAGGTCTATCAAGAGGATGAGGGGGGACCGCCGTACCTGGACCCCGAAGAGGATTGGTGGCTGGAGCAGGAGATGAAAAAGAAGGAAAAGAAAGAGAAAAAGAAGCAGCAGAAGAAACAGAAGAAGGGCGGTTGCGTCATACTGTGAAGAAACGGCCGTCCCGTCGCCCGCAAATCAATTAATCGTCAATAAATGTTGTTTTTTTTTATATTATTCGGATATATAATTCAAAAGCACACAACTTGCCAAACGCAAAGTAAAAAAAATGCATGCTCTAAAATTTAGTTGCGTGCGTGTAAAATTGAAATGTTGACGAAAACGATTACCAAACGTTTTTTCAAATGTGTGTAACACATTTCTTTATCGCAGCAGGCCGTGAACCCGATTTTCAACTATTACATCTAGCTTCAAAACTATATAGTATTGAAGCTAGATGTAGCTGATAATGCTGAATAATGAAAAAAACAAAACAAAAATGATTTGAATAAAACAAATTTCACAAGTATCAATGATAATCGTAGTAGACGCGTTTCGTAACAGCAGAAAAAACAAACGAAACAATGTTTATCTAGGCGAAATTTGAAACTCGGCAATTAACAGCAGGAATTAAAAAGATGAAAAAAAAAACGCTATTATCATTCAAATGAAAGGTAATAAGTAAATAAGTTTGAAAGTAAAGTAAAATCAATGATGATTATTAATGTTTTTTTGGGAAAGATGGCGCCTCGAACAGGATTAAGCATGGCAAGCGATTACAGGGATCTGCAGCGGCGAGTGCTGCTAATGATGATGATACTACTACTGACCTTTTCCGCTTTGGCAAGGTTCACCCAGAGTTGTCTCCACGTGCTGAACTTCTTCTGATCGCTGAAATTGAATTGCATTTCTGGACTTGCGTACCTGGTGCTCAACACCGAACGGTACTTGCAGAATTCACTGGACATGTTCTCACCATAGGACGCCATGCTAACTACTCACTGCTGCTGCCAACGGATTCAAACTGAATTGGATTGGATCGACGACGGCGACGACGACGGTCAGCTGTTTTACTCTCTTAAATGAGCGCGCACACGCAAACCAATTACACTTTATCAGCACTTATTATTTTAACGAAATCTCTTTTACAATTTTCAATGAATTTAAAGCGCCGCACTTGGTATGTGTATAGGAAAGGAATATATACGGACAGAGTGGTAGAAACATCTAATTCCACGCACAAGTATATTTAAGGACACTACAGATAGTAAATAACACAGAGATCTTGCACTATCCTTCCTGGAATGTCCAGTTAAGGACTGAAGTGAGACCATACGAGGCTGGAGTAAGCACCACAATATAATTTAAAGGAGTTTTACGAAGATTTATATAAGAATAATTAATGTTACGTGCAAAGATCTTTTTAAAAAAAAGTCGTGGTCTGCAGTTTGTCATAATTCTTATTATGAATACACTGCACTGATGAGCCCCAAATTAGGGCGAAACCACCTCTACTTTTTACTACCTATAAATAAATTCCAGAAATTATATGCAACAAAAAAAACATTCCACACATTCCAGAAACGTCAAAAAGCAAAAATTCCACACATTCCAGAAACGTCAAAAAGCAAAAATTCCACACATTCCAGAAACGTCAAAAAGCAAAAATTCCTCACATTCCAGAAACGTCAAAAAACAAAAATTCCTCACATTCCAGAATCGTAAATTGGAAAAATAGTGAATTGAATTTACTAAAAAAAATGGTTTTTCGATAATAACTCAAAAAGTAATAAACTTTTTTATAATTTTATTGCATAATCAGATGCACGCAACCGTTGCGCAACTTTTTATGTAACAAAAGTTACGTAATGTTCGTTACGTAACAGAGAAACGACGTTTTTTTCGATTTTTTTCCTGTTTTTCGTGAATATCTCGACAACCCCTTAAGATAATTACATCATCGACCACTCGTATGAAAGCTGAATATCTCACCTTTCCAACGAGCCTACTAGTATCTTCTTACTGCTGCGGAGTCGCTTGCTATGAGCTTTAGAAATTGGAAAAAAAGTGAATAGAATTTGTCAAAAAATCAATGTTTTCAGTTTTGCGATAATAACTCAAAAAGTAATAAACTTTTTTATAATTTTATTGAATAATCAGAAGCACGCAATCGTTGCGCAACTTTTTATATAACAAAAGTTACGTAATAATTGTGAATTCTTAAATTAAACTTAAATATGTTTATCGTGGTTTCGCCATTTATTTGTGGCTCATCAGTGCAGTGCAATCGACAAACGACAAACTGCAGACCACGATTACTTTAAATTACATTTAATTAGTTAGAAATTACACATCTTTATATTATACGTAATAATATCTAACTATATTTTGTTTGTTTTCTTAAACTGTTGTTACATCAATTTAAAGGTACCTCAAAAATTACATATAAACTATATATGTCTGGTTAGTTGTAAATAATTAAATAAAAAAAGCTATCGACACGTAAGTGCAATTCACTTGTTTTTAGTATGTGTAAGTTAATCTTCGTGTTTATGCGTTTCTAGTCTACCGAAAACCGTTCAATGTCATGCGATGAGCGCTAAAACTCGTCTGACCTTAGCGCGTACACTTAAAATGCACACGACGTTGCTTTTGCTGTTATTTTCATTAGTCTTAATGAGACTTTTTGAGGAGAGCGAGAAGAGGTAAGAGTAAGAAAAAGTTACATGTAAACTGGTCGAGAGGAGTAGGGACGGAAAGTATAAGAGTAAAGGAGCCAATGTTATTGGGGTGAGTTTTCGATGTTCGCGGAATTGGTGAACGATGTACGTACGACGTATGCGAGTGGTCGCACGAGACCCGTGGAGTACCGGAGGAAGCAGCTGAAGGCGATGCTCCTCATGGTGGACGAGAACGAGCAGAGAATTGTCGAAAGTCTGCAACGCGACCTGGGGAAGAGCCGGTTCGAGAGTTTGGTGTACGAGGTGGGAGTGGTGCGAAACGAAATCGTATTATTCTTGAGAAACCTGAAGGCATGGTGCGAAGCCGAAACGCCAGCAAAGGGCGTCGTTAACACGCTAGATGTGCTGAAGGTTCGGCCTGAGCCGTACGGAGTTGTTCTGATAATCGGCACCTGGAACTACCCGTTCTCGCTGTGCCTTCGACCATTGATCGGAGCGCTCGCAGCCGGCAACTGCGTTATCCTCAAGACCTCGGAGGTAGCGCCGTGCGCGGCCGCCATCATCGCCGATCTGCTGCCTAAATACCTGGACGCAGACTGCTACAAGGTTGTACAGGGAGGCCCAACCGAATCCAGCCAGCTCCTCGACCAGAGGTTCGATTACATCTTCTACACGGGATCAGCGGCGGTGGGTCGGACGGTAAGGGCAAAGTCCAATCGATTCCTCACGCCGGTCACCCTGGAGCTGGGCGGAAAGAGTCCCGTCTACGTGGACGGCACCGCAAACCTCGAGTTTGCCGCCAAGAGGATTCTCTGGGGAAAGATATTGAACGCGGGTCAAACGTGCATCGCCCCCGACTACGTCATCTGCAGCGAGAAGATTCAGTTGCAGCTCGTGGCAGGATTCAAGAAGGCCGCTTCGGAGTTCTTCCCTCGTGGCGCACGTTACAGCGAAGACTACGGAAGAATCATTAATGAACATCACTTCAATCGTTTGGTGAAGTACCTGAACGGTGGCAAGGCTGCGGCGATCGGAGGTAACTTCGATGCAGCGGACAGATTCATCGAGCCGACGGTGCTGCTGAACGTTCAACCCGATGACGACGTCATGGCCGAGGAGATCTTCGGGCCCATCCTCCCCATACTGACCATGGAATCTCCGCAATCAGCCATCGAATACATCAACAGCAGAGAGAAGCCGCTAGCTGTGTACATCTTCTCTGGGAAGCAGTCCGTCGTAGAGGAGATAATCTCTAGGACGTCCAGCGGCGGCGTCTGCGTCAACGACGACATAGCGCAGTACGGATGCGAGGAATGTCCGTTCGGCGGCGTCGGCGGCAGCGGGATGGGCGTTTGCGGCGGTCGCCACAGCTTCGACACATTCAGTCACCGCAAGACGTGCCTCCACCGCGGTCTCAGCAAACTGGTGGAAACCGTCTCCTCCGTCCGATATCCACCCTACAACGAGAAAAAACTGAAATTCTTACAGTTCGCTCTCCGCTCACGCAAACTTACACGAAAGCACGGCTCTTATCTCCGATATCTTCTCGTGTTCGCGACCGGTTTCTACGTCGCTTACTTGTACTTCTTCTTGGATCTGCAAAAAAAAACTTAAATAAATTATAAATACATAAGAAAATACATAATATAAATTACCATTACTTTTAACTACTTTCCAATCTTAATTTTGTTGTTTGTTTCAAACAACAATTTCGACGTTGCATTTGAAGTTTGTTGTTTCTTGATAAATTTGTTTACAATTTACAAAAGAGAATCGCCAATTCAAAAAAAAGCAATCCACGCATTCACGTGCACCAACTAAAAAGAAGTAATGTAACCATCTTCAAACAATCTCAATTCACTTACAATAATTAGCGAAGAACGCATTTCCTCAACCATCGAACATTATTATTTCCTACATCACGCGAACGCACAAAAACACTCTGCAAATATATATAAAAAACAATTAATAATTTAAAAAAAACAACTTTGTTTTGACGTTTCAACAATTGCAAACCTGACAACACGAACCTCTCCGTGCATCCGCTGCAATTGAATCATTCAAATTATTAAACAATCTATTCTATCTTACGCAACAAAGAAATAATACGCATAAATTGAATGTTTATATGAGAAACCGTTCCGCTGATTTACATTGTCAAACAATCAACATTTTGCCAAAACACTGCAGAAAATCCAACGCCAACCTTGTACTATATGTAATTAAATTAAACGATTCACAAATAAAATTAATGATCGATAATTCCACTATAAAACCATATTTAAAGCAAAAAAAAAACTGAATCACACTTAAACTGCAATAAAATTACCCAAGGTTTCTTTTTTTCCTACCTCGCACAGTTTATTCATTTGTATCGTTCGCTTTTGTTTATTCAGTCGTATTAAATATGCAGATACGTTTGTTACGGTCTTATGTAAGTGTTTTTGCATCTCCGCTTCTTCTTTTTGTTTTGTCTCCGCACGAAACGTGCAATTACAGACATAACCGTTGTAGAGTTACGAGATATTACGTTGCAATTCAGTAAACAGAAGTTCATAATTTTTTTGTAGTGAAACATATGAAAGTATTCATATATTGTTGTGGTTTCATCCGTTTGGCCGTAATTAGCTTTTAAATTTGAAAAAACGTTAAAAAATGTAGTGTTTTCACATTTAATTGATTTTCTCGAAAACTATAATACATAGAATGAATCCGGAAAATGCATATGAAAGCTGAATGTTTGGGGAATCTAGCATATTAGCCGTTTGGCTGTAATTCGTGCTCAAAGTT